CACAGACCCTTCAAAGAAAATATATATAATAAAAAGCCTGCTAAGTCAAACATCTCAAAAGGAGACTTAGGCAAAAATCAAGGCAATCCCGATGGATCTGACAAGCAAAGTCAGTCCATGCAAAAGTTAGGGATCAAAAACAAAACCAAAAAGGGGTCCTCGAACCCTCAACAAAAACAAAATAAGATTCAGTGGCCACCCAAATCAAGGGGTTACTGACATCCATCAAAATAAGGTGGCTGCCATTTCAGGCAAACTTTGAACCATCAAGTTTACACCGTCAAGTAGGTGCAAAATTAACTGAGCGTAGGTATGGAGATTATCATGAAGAAGGGGTGGGTACAAATCAAATTTGAGACTTCTATCCTTTGTTTCTATAACCATGAACCAGACCACGATACAACCCTTAAAAGACCTAATTGAGGCGGGGTTTTATTCTGAAAGCATATCTACAACAAGGTTGCGTAACCTGACTCCTCACATGATTGCTAATCACCAGCATTGGTGTGATTATTCTTGCTATATCTTTCGCACCAGATAAATTAACACTGCGTTTGGACTAATAGTCCGCTCGTCACACACTGTCACATCATTCTAATAAATGATCCTTTCAAATTTTGCATAAATGTCGCATTAAAATTACCATTTTTTGAATAAACACTTTTAACTGCAAGTCAGTACTTGGCATTATGGAAATTGCAACAAAAGAGCAATCAAAGAGGAACTCGATCACTCATTGATGTTGACTTGAATCAAGAATTTCTCATAACCCTGCAGACTGGGGCAAGTTCTTCTGAGTTTCAAACAGGGGCATATTGTTGCAAAATCCAGACACTGGGGCAATCATCGTAGACCATGTCATGGTATAAATCTTTAAGGAAAAATCTTCAAATACCCAGCAGACTGGGGCCGGCTAGATTGAACAGGGGCAACTCCCTTCTTGCATCCAAGTTGGTCGAACAGACCGTGCCAGATGTTAGTAACTGTTGAGTTCACAACGAGCATCAAAAGCCTTGGGGCAAAGCAAAAGCACGATCAACATGCATTGGTTAAGTCGCTACGCTCGCATATTCAACATGCCTTGGTTACGTCGATGCGCTCAACATTTGCAAGCCATCAAGGCATATCAGCTAGAAGCTAGGTTCTTACAAGAACGAGTGCACAACTTTTGCAAAGGATCTAACTTGGGGCATACATAAGCATCCATATATGTCTTCTGACCATAGCATCGTCAGATACCGATTGTCGGGAAGTCAAATACTTTCACCAAATAAAGTCCACTTTTGTTGGCATCACTAAAAACTCCAAAAGTCCATCTTTTATTGGCAACTACATAAAAGTCCACCTGGCTGGCATCATAACCCAAAAGTCCAACCCCGCTTGACATCTCTTAAAGTCCAATTTGTATTGGCAAAGTCCACCTGGCTGGCATCATAACCCAAAAGTCCAACCCCGCTAGGCATCTCCTGAAGTCCAATTTATATTGGCAACCATTAAAAGTCCAACCCCGATTGGCATCTCTTAAAGTCCGATCCTTTATTGGCAACTACCAAAGTCCACCCCTGTCGGCACCTTAATAAAACCAATCTCCTGCTTGCATTCACATATGCATCATACAATTGACATGTATCATACGCATACATAGCACGACCATTTCCTCTTTCAACCCCCGAGTTGATATGTCTTTATTTTCTCGACCCCCGAGTCGATATTTACCTTTTCCTCCTTCAACCCCCGCGTTGATATTTTGTTTTTTTTCCGACCCCGAGTCGATATTTACCTTTCTCCAACCCCCGCGTTGATATTCACCTTTCTTCGACCCCCGAGTCGATACTTGTCTTCATTTCCTCGACCCCTGAGTCGATATTGCCTTTATTTTCTCTCGACCCCCGAGTCGATATTTGCTATTCTTCTTCAATCCTCAAGCTGACTTGTTGTTCTGATTTATCCTCGACCCCCGAGTCGATAGTATATTTGTTCTTCTCAACCCCCGAGTTGATGTGCCAATATACCTCGTAAATCTTTTCACCTTGTTTCACCTAATACCAAAAATAATCCCTTGTGGAAAACCAGAAATAAAGCCTCACTAAATCCCGTTACCCGGTTGCATTCTCATGCGCATTGCATTTCAATCATTTGCATATACATCTTGCATTCTATAGCAGTTGCATTTTAATTGCATATTGGCGCATCATACGGAGCATGACATTTCTGTCCCCAGCGACATAGCATAACAGAATCCAGGATCAGTTCACAAGCATCTTGACTAGTCCTCTATCAAAGTCGATGGTATTTCTCTTGAAAAGAGTTAATGTCGCATGTGGTCAAGGAATTCTATCCCCAGCAAGTCATTCTTTAACCATACGGTTGTTGATGATGGTTCCCAGCAGTCGTTGCCCTGGTGGCTCCCCAAGCAGAGGTTACCTTGAAAAGTTTCTTGAAGGCTTTCCCCCTGCAGAGTTTGGACAACGCTTTTCCTTTGGCAGGACTTTAGCTCAACTATTCCTTAGCGAAATCATCACTCGAGATACTGCTTTGGTATCGCGAAGAGCCTTAATGGATAAGGTACTGCTTCAACCACCCGAAGAATCTCAAGTTTTGTTCGAGATACTGCTTTGGTATCATCGAAGAGCCTTAATGGATAAGGTACTGCTTCGACCACCCGAAGAATATCAAGTTTTGATCGAGATACTGCTTTGGTATCATCGAAGGACCTTAACGAATGAGGGGCCACTTCGACCACCCAAAGAGGATCATTTATACCACTCTGGTACCGCGAAGAACCTTATTGGATAAGGGACTGCTTCGACCACCCAGGGAATATCAGGTTATCTCGTTCATCTATTTTGCATCCTGTTATCCCGTTCAGGTATATCCCATCTCTTTGCATTTTTACTTGCTTGTCGGACAAATTTCGGGGTCTTTTTGTATCTAATTGACTTCCACCCTAAAATGAACGCCATGCAGCTGTTCATTCTCTCAGGTTCAAGACAATTAGATAGGGGCATCTGTCATACCCCAAATTTGTCCTACCTTTTTCAAATTTTCATTCGCCCGACTTTTTATTTTCAATTTGCATCGTTTGTACAACATAGTGTATTTTTCAGCAAAATTGAGCAAAATAACCTTTTTCACCTTTTTGCCCAATAGGGGTGCGCCACGTGGCATCTTATTTATTTATTTATTTATTTTTATTCTGTTTTTTGTCTTATAATATATTTTAATTTTTATAACATGTAAATATAATATAACTTTAACATTGTTGATTATTTAGTTTAGAATTTAGAGTTTAAATTAAAATTAAATTAGAATTTTAACTAGTTTTTTTTAGATTCTTTTTATTATTAATAGATTTAGAATTATTTTTATTAAGTTAGAAATAGGGTAGAATTTTAATTAGAATTTTATTTAAAATTATAATTAGATTTATTTTTTTTAATATTAATTAAGTTAGAATTAGAGTTAATATATTAGTTAAAATTATTATTAATCAAAAAACAGAAAAATTAAAAAAAAAGAGAAAGAGAAAAATAGTTAGGTTTGTGAGGCCCATTTTGGGAGGCCCGTTATGGATTTGGAAAAGAGGGACTCAGATCCTTTATTAAAGGCTGAGAAAACCCTAAGTAGGGAGGTCACTGTTCACAAAACCCTAAAAAAAATGGCCGCCCCTAATTTTGAAGGGCAGCCCTAAAAACCATCCCCTTTCTAACCCTAATTTGGTTTACTGTTCATGATCCCTTTTCAAACCCTAACGGAGCCGCTGAGGAACCCTAAAATCGGACTGTTCATCATCCCTCTCCCAAATCGGCGCCGTAACCCCCCTTTTTCTCCTTCGAATTCCCCAAATCATCATCATCATCCATTGAAACTTTCTTCTTCAAACCATTCCCTTTTCTTCTCCCTCACCGATAACTTTCGTCTTCCTCTCCACCATCGCGTCATTCCAAACCAATGGAGGCACAAACCACTTCATTACCTCCAATCCTCTATCAGTTTTTGTAAACCCTCTACCGCCACCTACAACAATCAAAAAACTCATACCATCATTAAATACCCTTCACAGCAACCATGACAAGCCATTGGTCCAACGCAGTCGGGCTGTGTACGGTCTTGAAAATAAGACTACCGATGACGACATCGACTTGAGGCATCTCCGTTTCATCAGCGAGTGTAACAACGTCAAAGGTCTAGATCTGCAGCGATAATATCCCGCGAAGGTTTCGGTTGACGATTTGGTTCGAACAAGACTTATCAGATGCTGCTGCTGTTAGGATGATCGGAGTTTGAAAATTTGACAACACCGTTCTGTATTGCAATGCAGTGAACCATTCTACCGCCTCTGATTCACTCGGCCTCATTTGGTAGTTCCGACTGCGAGTTGAACGTCACGATGGATTAATTCACTCCGTCAACTCTGTAACGCAAGTTCGGAGACGCAGTGTCGAACATCACCAACAACGTGACGACAACATCACACAACAATTCAATCGCTCACGACACGGTATCAACGACGGTTCCGGTAACATCATGAACTCATTTCAGGCAACATCAATTTTTTTTCTCTTTAACAACAGCAACCATGTTGAGGTTACAAGATATCAGACATAAAGAATTGGTTATGCATAAATAAATGTCGACGTTGTCGCTGCGAGCCTGAACTCGAAATCCACCAGAAGATTATTTGAGGTATAAATCTTGTTTCCGCTATGCTTCTAAATGCCTTTGTGTGCATTGTTGTTTGTTCATGCTGGTTGGCATGCTGTTGTTGATCACCTTCCTCTGCATAATTGGTTTTTATGATCATTGTTTGTGATTAATTTATGGAGAAGCGGACATGTTGTGTTGTGTTTTTGTGAGAATTCAAAAGGGAGGAAGAAAACGTGTCTGATTATTTAGGACATGAGAAACAGAGTGTTGATTCAATATGCTAGTTTTGTCTTTGGATCAAGTTTGTTGGCCCAAACATATGCTTGTTGCAAACACAGTATTCACCCGCGAGCATGGGGACGCAGGTGAGCGATGCTGATTACATGACCAGCTTGGAAGCCAGGGTCAAGGAATTAGAAGCTGAGAATGCAAATCTTTTAGCTCGACTTGCTCATTGTCACAACTCTCCGGAAGATCAGATATCACATAGTCCCGATTATAAAGACGCGAAAGTGAACGAACCGAAAAAAATCCAACGGGGAATCACAAAGGAAGATAAGAAATAAGCCAGGCTATAACACAGGGTTTCTGAGTCATCATAGCAAGAGATATGTAGCTTTAAAAGTAATGTACTTTGGAAAAAGGTTCTATGGTTTTTCTGCAGAGGCACAAATGGAACCATCTGTTGAGTTTGAAATTTTTAAAGCTCTTAAGACAACAAGGCTATTGGTTGGTGATAAGAAGGATTCGCAGTACTCGAGATGTGGTAGAACAGACAAAGGAGTTTCCTCTGTTGGACAAGTGATAGCTCTTTTTCTTAGATCAAAGCTCAAAATATCTGGAGTAAATAATGGAAGTTCTGGAGAATATGTTTTTGAAGAGAAACATGGTGGTCTCGGCGTCACGCATGGAGGTCGTAAATTTGAAAGGGACAACAAGCTGTGGCGAACTGTGGTCAACAATGATGTCCATCTCAAGGCAGAATGATGACACAAACTGTATGACGCCGCCATTTGCGACATTTCCAGCGGCAATGATAGCTCAACGTAGCAACAGCTCAGGTTCGCAGCAAAACTTGGCAGTTCAAATGGTAACAATTCAAACAAATTATGCTTTACATACTCTTATTATGTTTGTACTCTGCAGAATTGGTATCTATTTCGGTCTGAGCTACTTATGTAGGATATGTGCATCATTTCGGTTATTATCTTGTTTACATCCATTTCAATCCGACTACGTTTTGTATGTGCTGAGTTTAGATGTGATAGACCTAGCAGTTTTTAAATGTTCTACTGCTGTTTGTGTTTTGGTAAAGATAAACATTGCATTTGTTGCACACTGGTGGTTTGTTTGACAGTGTATTGAAAATTAATGCAAAGTATGATTGCATCCCTAATTACTTCAATTATGTATGATTTGAGGTCTGACTACATTATGTTCATTTTCTGAGCATTGTGATAATCCGTGTTGTTGATGCTAATATTTTAGTTCGCGTCGGTTTGCATTTGATTTCAATTGCGTAATCGATTTGAATATCGCAATAGCTGTTAGAGTAGCAGTCTAAGATAAACAATGTGTTTTTATGGTCCTGATATTTGGTTCAATGCTGCCATCCGAGTCTTGTAGCTGCACGTTTTCTATAGTTTTCAATTACTTTATTATTAGAACTAATGTTGAAACTTAATGTTTGAGTTCTTTGTGCATATTACACTGTCGCCTGCGAGTTGTATCACCCTTGTGACAGGCTGTTGCTGCAACTTAATGATATTAGAGTCATCTACTAGTTCCTGTTTCACGCAGCCACAATATATTTGACACCGGTAATGAGCTTCAGCTTCGCGACAATGCTTCGAGCAATACTCTACAGCAGCGATACAACATCTTCAAAAGTCCACGCGGTTCCGCTTTCGTAGTCACACCTTGGTTTTTGTGAATTTATTGCTTCTCCATTCTGTTTGGTTTGTTGTCCATTTGTTTACGCAGGTCGATGGCTGGATTCTGGTCGTAACAACATTCTTCATAACTCGCGGCAACAACGGCGGCAATAACGTTGGAAATAGAGCAACAACAATTTTTATGATGGCACACACATCAGCCACAATACAGCCGTGACATCCTCAATGATACTCTGCAGTTCCAGCTTCGACTTGTTTCCGTGCTTGACAAGAAAAGCAATCGTTGCGGTCCAAAAAAACAGTAGAGACAACTCACCTTCGTGTGGTAATATTTCTGAATTTTTAATTATGTAGTATGATTAAGTTTGGGTGTGTCGCCTATTATATGTTTGCATTCGAGCCATGCTGACAGCTGATTCATCTTTATGTTTTCGATTTGGTTATGTTACACATGATTGTGTGGGAGTTTGGAAAAGAAACACTGTTGTTGTTATGTTCTAAAGCTATTGAAATTACGTTATTACAATAACTTGTTGAAACGAAATGTCGGTTGCCTTAGATTTTGTACTATTATTACTCTGAAATTTTGTTTGAGATGGTTATAATCAGGATTTTTGATATTGATTTCTTGCCTGTTATCAATTAGAATTTTGGTATAATGTTGAGTTTTGCTGCTTGTATGAGTTTTGCCGTTATGATTGTCAATAGTTGTTCTTGTTGTATAAAATCAAGTATTGGTTCATGGTTATTCTTGGTTTTAGTTTGTATATCATAAGAGCCATGATTACTATTATTTTGAAATTTTGCTCGAAATGGTTATAGATTTCTCGCCTATCATTAATTAAAGTTCTGAGAAGGTTCTAGCCGAATTTTAACTTATATGCTCAATTGATATCACAAATTTGAAAGCACTCTAAAATATTGTTTCTTTTCATTATGCAAAATAAGGCAGATGTTTGTTCTGATCCTGATAAATTGGTTATACTTTCAAGATTATTATGGGTTTTTGCCTACAGTGGTATATTAATTTCATAAATAACTTTGCATCGATGCTTGATTCATACGGATTTTCGTTATGGATATTTTGTATAAATTATGATATAAACTCACATGGAATGAATTTGAATAATAGTAAAGTTACATTATGTTTATTTGAGATAAGCTCTGCTCACTCATTCGTTGCATGCTACCGTCAGCTTATGTTTGCGACTTAATATGCATGTTGGTTTCACAAACTGTATTTGATCTTAGGTGTTAACAAAAATGATTGAAAGTTATATGTTTTAGATTAAAAAATAATTAATGACTAATATTATGATTGTTATTTTTATATTTTATTTTGTATTAGTTGATTATTAAAATAATTAATTTTGACTTTTCACTAAAGACATATTTTTCTAGTCTTAATTAAATTTTAAAACATTTTGTTTCATTTTGTTTTTTTATATATCAAATATTTTTAATTAAATCCACGAAAGTAGTGGGCTCTTGGGGTCTAGCACCCCTTGAGTCCTTGAATAATCGCTCTCGAGACGCACGCCCTTGAGTTGTGGTTGTTCCGTCTTTCGGTTTCCAAATTGTTTTTTCACTCAATTAAAATTTTTAAACAACTTTTATTAAATAGATATTTTAATGAGAAATTCAAATTATTCTTTCTTTTAAAAAATATAAATCTTAAAATTATTACCAAATAAATATTTTTAACTTTTAAAATATTATACTTTATTAGTTAAGTTAAAATGTTTTTTTTAAGATATTAAACTTTTTTTTCAAATACAATTAATTATAAATTAGCTTTTCTCAAAACCATTTTATAATTGATTAATAATTTTATATATAAAAATTAAAATTATTTTTCTTAATCAAATTAAACTATCTTCCTAAAACAAATTTCAAAACAATTGAATTCTTGGATCTCGCCTTCCTTGAATTTCTGAACGACTACTCTCGAGACGTACGCCTTGAGTTGCGGTCGTTTATTTAAAATGCTCAATTCTTTTCGAAACCTTTAAACAATTTTAAAATAAATTCTCGATTAGTTAAATTATCTTCTACCTTCGATCACCATACACGACATTTTAAAGCTTAATCCTAGGCTTTCTTACAGTGACACCTATTTGATCAATTATTTCTAGTTGGTCACTTAGAAGACTAGCCCACCTTGCTAGTACACACGTTTAAAACTCGAATTCAAACCTCAACTCCTTTCAAGCCATGTTTCAAAACATCAAAGAGGAGGAGCTTGGAACTAAAGCTTGCACGCAATTTCAAGGGTCAACGGAACCACTACGTTCGGTAACTTTTCTTACTTCCAATCTTATATTTCTAGAATACCTAGTGCACCTAGTCCACCTACGCTAATATTTCCCAAATTATTTTCTTAATTAAATCAACGAAAGAATCGAGTTCTTGGAGTCGCGCATTCCTTGAATTCGAGTATGATCACTATTGAGGCGTACGCCTTGTATGGTGTGCCATTCAAACTTTCGTTCTTAAAATACCTCCTCTAATTATTTGGACAAGCTTTCACTGTCCAACAAACATATTTTATAATTAATGGGATGAAAAAGATTTTCGTTGGGATCTAGCATTCCAACGATATCCCGACTAATTGATTACGAGGCCGACGTATCGTTTATCGAATAGTCGTCATTCCTCCTAAATTTCCAACCCATCTAACCTCGTTCCCCACCTCCGTGTGATCGAGTATAAACCCTCGTATGCTTCTAAACCATATGTCGAATCCAAACTATTTTCTTGATTAAATTACGAAATAATTGAGTTCTTGGAGTCTCGCATTCCTTGAATTCTTGAGTAACCACTCTTGGAGCGTACGCTTTAGGTTGTGGATCACTCGACCTTTTGTCTATAAAACACGTGCCCTAACTATTTGGACAAATATCGTCATTCCATTCAAATACAATTTCATAATTAATTGAATGAAAAAGGTGTTGTTGGGATCCAGCATTCCAATAATATCCCGACTAATCGGTTGCGTGGCTGACGTCTCGTTTATCGAGTAGTCGTCATTCTCCCTTAAAATATTCAATCCAACTCTCTTCTCTCATCCTCGTGCGATTGAAACTTTCTCAAACATATTTTATAATTAGTCAAATGAAAAAGGTGCCGTTGGAATCTAGCATTCCAATAATGCCCCGATTAATTGATTGCGAGGCTGGCGTCTCGTTTATCGAATAGCCGTCATTCTCCATCAAATTACCTAACCAAACTCCTATTTCTTGCCCCCGTGCAATTGAAACCTTAAACCTATTCAAATATATCCTCTAACCAAAACATCCAATACGATAAACCTAATCCCTCGCCCTCGTGCGATTTCCAACCCAAACATACCTTTTCTCAAAGAACATTGTTTAGTCCCTTCTTCCGCGCATAACAAACTAGTGCTTCAACCTCCCCTAGCGAGCAGACAAGCCAATGTTTAGCAGTTAGAATGCGACTTAAACACTTGTTCATTTTCCAAACCCTTTTACCATAGTTAGCCGAACTACAGCTGCTCTGATCTCTCATATCTGTTGAGAGTACGTAGGCATAGGATTGCGATGATCCTAGCGAGCACTTTTCCACTTTTCTTTCTTTCCCACCTTTAGGTTCCCATACCTTTTACCAAAGAACATTGTTTAGCCCCTTCTTCCGCGCATAACAAACTCGAG